ACTGGAGGTGTCAATCAAGATCCCATAGGTTCCCTAATCCTCTCTAGTCCCCTAAAACGCCCTCTATACACACACAGTTCATCTTGAAGTCCACAGTCTGAGTCTCCGTGAGTTTGCCAAAGGAAAGGAGGAAAGATCGGCCTAAACCTGTCTGCATGCCCTGGCCAGGCCTGCAGCAGCAGAGGTGGTGGGTGGTGGTGGCGGTGTGGACCGGGCAGTAATGTATGCAGCACGGAGAGCCCCACGTAGGCCGGCGCTGCGGCCCCCGTCTGCTGACCTCTGTGTGATCCCGAACTCTATGAATTATTGATGAGATATGAGCGTTGATTTCCCCTTTCAGGATGCAAACTCCATTATATTGTTAAAATGGCGATTTAATCGTTGAGAATAGCTTTGGTGTGGGTTTTTTCCCCCAACTCATTTGCGCCGCCTTCCTTTTCATTTAACTCTCTTAATTAAATCCTTTAACAGATTTTAATCACTTTTTGGAGGGAGGGGTAAGAGGAAGAGAAGGCCAGAACACCATCATCACAACCACCACCAACAAACGGGACAGTAAAAGCAAGACCAAACTAACCAGAAAGCCATCAAAAAGCATCTGCCTTCGGGAAGTTGAAAGGAAGGTGGGGGAAGAGGCGTAAGCCTTTCTAGAAAGATCCCTCCACCCCAGAGTCTGTATCACACCAACCTCACACTCACGCAGGGAAGAACTGGGCCAAAGCAAAGCGGGCAGGAACCAGTCTGGGAGGTGGCTAATTCCATCCCCAGGAGATTTCTGTCCAGTCTGGCTGTGACAACTGAGTCACCCCACCCTTACTCTGAAGTCCAGAGACTTCATGCTTGAGGAGGGCCACAAAACCCTTTTTGGCTTCTCCAACTTCAGCCTCAGGGGCACTTAGGGAGAAATGTCCACTCTCAAAGGGGCCCCCATTTCTCCCCTCCCCCTTCCCAAACAGGCGGTGTCTGAGTTAATTAATATGGATGTGTAACAGCACTGCAGCAATCGATAAATCCTGCTGTGGACAGATTCCCAGCCTCAAAATCGAATTAATCCTGAGAAACTCCAAAAATGGATAAGGTGATCAGTGGCCCTTCCGGTAAAACAGGGTAGGGGGTTCTTACTAGCCTCATCTTCCCATGTTGGTCTCTGAGTCCCCAACTGGGAAACGCAGGCAGTGAGTGAGAGCAGTCCTGCTAGGAGACTGAGTGCTCAGTCTGTCTTCTTCTTTGCTGGAAATCTTTGGCTTCTGCCCCAAAACTCTGATTCCAGGGATAAAGGAAACAGGCAAGGAAAAGAGATAGCTCTTGGATCTCTGCACCCTTCTCTCAGTGAATAACTTCTCACAGCCAGGGAAGGGTTAAGTGTCCCTAGCCAGTCGTGGTTATGGAGAGGAAGCTGATGAAATATGGCACTTGGAACTCCAGGCCCTGCTGGCTTTCCTGTTTACACTTCTTTATACTTCCTCCCACCCCACAGCCACATAGAAACAAAACAAACAACCAAATAACCCCCCCCCAAAAAAAATCAAAATCAAATTTCTACTAAGTGGTGGCCCGGCTGGCCTTAGAGCAAAAGGGAAAATGTAGCTTTAATCTCTGGCTGCCAGTGTCTGAGGAGCCAGCGAGTGCTGGCTCTTCTTTAGCTCAGAGGCGGAGGCCTGGACTGGCAGATGAGAGGAAGCAGTGGGCAAGTGAGGAGGAAGAGAAGAAGTGTGGAGTGAAGCAGCATTTCCGCAGAGAGGGGACCATGGGAGGCGAGAGCATAGGAAAATTCTTTGCCCCAGAAATCTTCTAGCAGCTCTCATCCTCTTACCCCCAACCTGTCCTGTTGGGGTTTCAAGGAAGACAAGTGGTCCAAGGAATGAGGAAGAGGAAAAGCCCATCCAGGGATTCCTCAGGTTCCATCCAGAAGACACTCCAAAGGCTTGACCTCTGAGTTGAAAGTGGGCTTCTCTTTGCCATTCAAAACAAAACAAAAAAGAAAATCTTCCCAGATACACCCAGTCGATGTTCCTAGGCCACTGGTCTCATGCTGTCTTAATCAGATTTTTCAGAACTCCTATGCAAAGAGACAAAAAAAAAAAAAATACCTTCTGGGCAAACCTAGTTGTCAGGGGTTTTAGACTCCTAAAAAAAAAGGCTCCATGAGGGAAGCTAGAATAAAGACAACAAGGGCTCAATGGGAATGGGGTTCCCCAGGAAGCCCTAGGTGGGATTTTTGTTCCCTGCTCCACTCTTCCTCGGTACCATTTTCAAATCTCTTTGCTGTGCAGACAGTAGAACCTTTGTGGAAGCCATACCTCCAAAATGTTTTTCCAATGTTAAAGTCTACTAGAACTCTTTCAGAGCTGGCCAGTGTCTCCTTTCTATGGAATTCAAATGCCAATCATTCTTGGGGAATTATGGCTTCAAACTAGGATAACTCAAGCCCACTGTGCCATACCTCCACTCTCAAAGCCTCTTTAAGAGTCTCCCATGAAAGTCCCGGCATGGGCAAGGAATGGTGAGTTCAGAAAACAGAGAGCAGCTTTGGAAGAAAGAAGGAGAAAATGCCAATAACCCCTTAACAGGAAACTGAGGGACCATCCCCTCCTAGTTTCCAAGTTCCGAAGTCCCTCAAAATACAACAAATCTAATTCCAGGGATGGGTTCATCCAAGGTGGCAAGCAGAATGGAAAGATAGTGGGTTGGTAAAAGGAAGCAGCAACAGCAGAATCATTGGACACAATATCTTAACAAAAAAATTGTAAGTGGGGTTCAATCTGATGGAGAAGAGGCCTCTGGCTTTCAAAAGAAAGGTAACTTTTCCTTAGAAAATGCACCTCCCCCAGTCAAATCCTGGAGCACCTCTGGTTTGCGGTGCCACAAAACAAAGGGACCCCTGAAAGGTCTGAGAAAGGGAAGAGAGAAAGGGGAAGGAAAAGAGAGAAAAGAGCACCTTTCCAATGGTCTGTCCCAGCTCCAATATCTTTTTGATGCTGTCCCATAGCTGAGGTCCCTGTCCCTGGATAGGTTTTCTTTGTGGAAGACTTTGCCTGGGTCTGTTTAACCACCTCATACAACCAGGCCAGAGCAGATGCACCTCTCCTCCCTCTCTCTTGGCCAGGAATTAGGTTTGGGATTGGACATTATCTCCTCTGTCTGCTACCCATTTTGATCTCAGAATCCTTTAAAGAACCTAGTAAAAGTGATTCCTTGTGATCGAAGACCAAAGATGGATACCAAAAAAAGCTGCATGCTCCATTCTGGAGAATCCTGATGACGCAGGCCACAGAAAAGGAAGGAACTGCCTTCCAGGGGTTCGAAGAACCAAAAGCCAGAAAGTACCCCCAGGGCAACATGGGCTACAGCAGCCTCCTTGCCTTTTTCTTTCCTTCCCTTTTGCTTTTTCTCAGCTTAGGTGTAGCCAGATAAAAGTAGCCAGCGGAAGAGGCACCTTTAACAAATAAATGTCATAAAGTCTCCTCTTCCCTATAGGGAGACATTTGTCTGAAGATCACCACTTGTGAAATGCAGCCCCCACCCCCCAAATCAGGCCCTTCTAATAGTACATACCCATTCTTCTTGCTCCCTAAATTTCCAAGGCACTGAAGGACTATGTATCTCACACAACCTTCCATCTTCACAGAGTAAAATACATATGCCTGCAAATATGAACCAGTTCCTCCCTGATCACTGAAACCTTATAGAACTGGCACCCCATTTCTCAGAACTGGGTAGGAAAAACTAGCTAATTTGTCCTGCACCACTCCATAGCCCTGGATGGAAGCAAGATTTCCTTCCCTTAGTCCCAAACCCTAAAACTGCCAAGGGGAGAAAGTGAAAGCTAGAAGCCACTTACTGCTGGAGTGCTGGGCCTGGGCTGCGCCACTGCCTTCTAGGTTGGTCCGGCTGCTCTAAGCTGGGAAGAGCCGCTCACCTACCTCTGCCCCCTTCCCCACCACAGCGAGCAGTTAAAGTGTCACTTAACATTCTGGAGAATGTGAAATATACCGCGCAGTGTCAACTCCCCAAAACCATAAAACTAACTTTATGGACCTCACGTGACTTTCTCGAGCCAGTGAGGGGTATCTGTCTGACTTCTCGGCGATTTTTACGATCTAACTTCGAGATAAAACCCCTATCCATTTGACATCTAAATGTCATAGCGACTTTTGGGATAGTTTGCTATCGGCAAAGGGGGAACAAAGTCCAGGGGTGAAGGGGAAGGAGGGCCTAGTAGAGCCTCCAAGACCCTTCGTGCCTCCTCATCAGCTCCCCCCTCCCTCCCCCCAGGTCCTGTAAGAAGTTGGGTCCAGCTGGAAGGGATTGACCGGGTAAGTGTCCAGACTTGACTATTGCGCACAGGGTGGAGGCTGACTTGTATGGAGGAGGACTGGGCCCTGGCCTGGGGCCAGGCTGCAAGGGGGAAACAGAGGTCTTTCCAAGAGGGACTGTAACTCCAAGGTCAGTTGGGTCCCAGGAGAGAAGGAGCTCTTGAAAAGTGACAAGATTGCTGAGGCTTAGAGATAACCTTCCAAATTAACCTGATTTTTTTTTTTTTTTTTTTTTGCCTTAGTGTGTGGCAGAGTTGAATTTGGATTTGGAGTTGGGAACAGGGCAGCTTTTTAGCCCTCTGCCACTCCCAAAAGGTCAGGAGCCTCCTGCTCAAGACTTAGGCCCAAATTCCTTTTCCTGAAGAGTTTTCTAAGGCTTTTTTGTTGTTGTTTTGGTGTTTTGTGTGGTTTTTTTTTTTTTTCCTGGCCAGCTGGTGGAAGGCCAGGAAAGATATCTCAGTCCCACATGGGGTATCTGGACTTCTCAGGCACCCTGTCATCAAGGCCCATTCTCTGGCCCAAGCATCAGTGACCAAGCCTGGGATTAGGTGGTTGAGAGAGGTTGCTAGGAGCACCCAACTGTTCCTTTCCTCTCACCTACGTTTCTGTTTCTGGAGACTGGTCTAGGGTGTGCCCAGTGATGAGAAGAGGCAGACCCCAGAGAAAAGACAAGTGGAAGGGTAGTGGAGTGGGGGAAACATTTATTTGACTTCAAGGAAAGCTACAAACAAATACCAAAAGCGAATCACTGAGACAGGCCTGGCAAAGACAGATTTCACACGAAGCACGGCATCCACTCACTCACTACAAATGGTCTTGGAAGCAAAATGGTGGGGAAGAAGCGATGGGTCTGACCCAGACTCAGTCCCATATTTACAAGCTTTGGGTCCTCTAGGCAGACCCACAGATGCACAGAGATAAACACCAGACATTTTACACTGAGGATTGTTTGTTTCCGTACTCTCCCAAGACCAGGCCTTGTGGGGCCTACCAGGCAGCAGGAGCTTAAATCTCACTATTTTCCTTCTCTCTTCTCAACATCACCCCTTTGGATCTCCCTCACCCCAGGACCCACTCCAAGACCAAGCCAAGGGGAGATTTAGGCCTAAGAAGTGGGGAGGGAGGCGGAAGGGGAAAGGTGAAAAGAGATACAGAGGCCAGCTCAGCTGGGCTTCCATTAGCATTGCCCACACGACTGCACCACCTCAACTGCCACCCTTTAGAGAAGTTTCCAGCTGAAACTCAAAATGCAGCGATCATCCTTTTTATAAATAAGTTAGAACACAGAGGGGGAAGGGGGAAAGTTCACATTAAACATGCGAATTTCTTTTTTTTTTTTTTATCCTGGGGAAAACAGTGCAACCACAGACACAAACATTCAGAAACACTGGTGGATTTGGGGGGTGAGCAGAGGGGAATGGGGAGCATGAAGGGAAAAAAATAATAAGAATTATTATTATTATTAACAATAATAACAAGATAACCAGTCCAGGAGAGAGGGAGCCACAGGAAGACCTAAGACCAAACGAAATATCTTAACACAAGGCTGGGGCGAGGCAGGCTCATGGCAACCGGTCCCCAGCGCACAGCGGCCGGGCAGGGAAGATTGGAGGGGCTGGGGCTGGGGTGGGGGTGGGGGTGGCGCGGGCTCTTGGGCTGCCCAGGGCTCCTTTGGGCGGGCTCAGGGCTGGAAGGCGCTACCGGCTGTAGCCAGGCTCATACTTTTCAGTTTGTTGTCTTTCTTCCACTTCATACGCCTGTTCTGGAACCAGATCTTGATCTGGCGCTCGGACAGGCAGAGCGCGTGGGCGATCTCGATGCGCCGCCGCCGGGTCAGGTAGCGATTGAAGTGGAATTCCTTCTCCAGCTCCAGGGTCTGGTAGCGGGTGTACGCGGTCCGGGCCCTTTTCCCATCCGGCCCGGTCATATCTAAGAGCAGATAGAGTAGAGCCCCCAAGGCAATGTTATTCTGGTTCCAGGAGGAAGGCCACTGGTTGGGAAGGGGGGGGGGCGGGAGCGGGACCCAGGCGTCCCCAGCACCCAGCTCATCGCAACTCCATCCTCTCTACTCCAGATGCCCGCATCCAGACTCCATGCTGCACCCCTTTCTCCTGCAGCCCCCAATTCTGATGGCAGCGCATGAGCCCGGCTTTGTCTGTCGCTGCCTCCCAGTCAGTGCCTCACCCATGGCTGGACTCAGGCAGCCGCTCGCCCCCGGGAGGGAGCGAGGGAAGCGGCTGCACTTTTGCCCTAGAATGCTCCCTTCTCTGCTCAGCCCTCCTTTGCAAGCAAACGCTCTGAAAATTGGAGAGATAAGCAGGATCCCTATCCACATCCCATTAAAAAAACAAAACAAAAAAAAAACAAAACCCATCCTTCATCCCCCAGCTGGCTTCTAGCTGGGAGGATAAACCCTAAAAACGGACCCTAGGAAGAAATTATTTAAAAAACTAAACCCACCCTTCCGCCAAAGACCCTATTTGGGCTCTGTCCACGGAGCTAGTGAGGACCCTCTCAGAGACTTCTCTCCCCTTTGGAAAAATGAATCTATCTGGATGGAAGAGCCAAGCTCCCCTTGCCCTTCCTCCCCAACACAGAGAAGGAAAGCCGAGGAGACACACAAAAATAATAATAATAGAGACAGAATTACCATGGCTGATGTGGAGCTTCCTCATCCAGGGGAATATCTGCGGAGTCTGCCCCTCGGGCGCGGCTGTGGAGGTGGCCATGGGCTCTGGCTGTGCCCGAGCTAGGCTCGGACTGCTTAGCTGGCTCGGGGCTTCCTCGGGCTCGGAGGACGCGCTGGCCTCGTCTATTTCGGTGAAATTGGCGCTGGAACTGGCTGGGGTCGCCTGGTCGGAAGGGGACGAAGCAGAGGGCTTGGCGCCGTGGCTGTCGCCGTTGGTGCAGGGCAGGGACTCGGGCGAGGACAGGGAGCAGCTCGACGCCGCCTGCCTGAAGCGGGGCTCCTGGGCGGGCGCGGGGAAGGCGCGCGAGCTCTCGCCCACCGCCCCAAAGTGGCTGGAGGAGGCCGAGGAGCGGTTGACGCTGAGGTCCATCCCATTGTAATTGTAGCCGTAAGAGCCGGTGTGCATGGCAGCGGGATCCCTGTAAGAGCCGCTCAGAGAGCTGCCACTGCCATAATTTAGCAACTGATAGTCCGGGCCATTTGGATAACGCCCCGAGAAGGAGTTTACAAAGTACGAGCTCATTTGGGTGATTTTGGAGGGCTTGATTTGTGGATCGTGGTCGTTATAACCCTGTGCTTCACGATTTATGATGTATTAATGAATTATAGCGATGCACTGTACTTCGTTTTGCTATGTATGCGGCCAAATATGGGGGGGGCTTGGAAGGGGGATGGGGGGGCGTTAGGGAATCACGTGCTTTTGTTGACCAGTCGTAAATTCTCGCTGATGACCTCAAGAGGTAATTCATGCTCTATGGTTACAAATAATGACGATCCGAGAATCGTTAGGGCCGATTCAATGCGAACCTCCGAGAGAGGGGGGAGGAAAAAAAAAAAAAAGGAGAAGGGGGAGGAACTAGGAGAAGGTTGGCGGCGTTGGCCTCTGAGCAGAGCGCGCCACCTCCCGGCGATCGACGGGAGCGCGGACCGCAGACCGCCATGGCGGCGGTGGCTCCATCCCTAACAGGCTCCCTGCAACCGGGAGAGCAAGACAGAAACCGGGCTGGGGCTCACCCTCAGGGATGACTCCTTCACAGAACGGATTTGAGCCTTTTAGCCACTTTCTTGGGGGTAGGGTTAGTCTATCTTTATCATGATTATTATTAGTAGTAGTAGTGTAACTCTGGATCAAACAAAGATTTGAGTTGCTTTTCCCCTTACTCGGGCTTTGCAAGTCTCCCAAGTTGGGGGCGGAAATGGGGGGGGGGTGGAAGTTGTGTGCGGAAAAACAATTATGACGAGTTTTCCCTGCTAGCTCAGCTAGGCCTACTTCCTGGTGTGGCTGTAGCGATGGGTCCACAGCCACCGCTGGAGCCGTAGGGCTGGGCTGGAAGCTTGAAGAAGCAGGAAAGCCTTCACTCTTTCTGGGCCCTAGGAAGTTTGGAATTCTCTTCCTGGCCTTATCCCAGGCTTGAGAACTGCAGAAAAGGGTAGGGACCCAAGAAGAGTAACAGAAGCAGCCTGGTTACTGAAAAGATTGCTGCAGCCATAGCCCAGGCTGCTTTAGATTTGGGTGATAACATGTGTCTGAGAGTTTGGGGTTAAACAGAACCCCTTTGCTTTCTCGACAGATGCCAGCTATTGCGTTCTGAGGCCCCACTAGAGGCCTCTTGCTGGTGGCTGACAATTTGAGAATTTGCTCATCGGTCTACCACCTTCTTAGGGAAGGAGTTTCAAGGACCCGCGGCCCCTTGCTGAGCACGCTGGGCGGCCAGAGACCTCCGCAGCTGGGCCCCTTCTGCCAGGCGGGCTATTTTCTTTAAAAATAAAAAATAAAAAGGGGAGTAGAGGGAGGAAGAAAAGAAAACAGTGTCTGCAACTTGTCGCCTGGAGAGAAAATAGGCCATTTTGGGTGGAGCCGATGAGACCAAATGCACCATCACCTGGCCTCTTGCCCCCGGGTCTCCAAAGAATGGATAAAAGTCGGGTCCTTTCCCTCTCTTAAGCTGGCGGCTTCATGTTCTCCTAATTATCAGTGTGATCCCACTGAAGGAGCACCCAGCAGCCTTCAGCCAAGGGCAGAGCGATGCCCAAATGGCACCATTTTTTTCCATCACGGGAGCCACAGAACGAGAGCCGAGGGCCAAGACCAGCAGCGACCGAGCCATGTGGGCGTGCCAAAGGCCAGGGGCCTGGGCGAGCCTAAAACAGAAAAAGCCCTTTCAGAGGTGCCAGGACCAGCCCAGCTCGATGTCTGCCGAGGCTCTGGGCTAGAAGACCTCAGTGGCTCCCTTCTAAAGGAGAAAAACGGGGCTAAGCTAGAGAGTAAGAGGGAAAGGGCCCTGCCCGGTCCCCCAAGTGTGAGCAAGGAAAGGCATTTGAGAGCTACAGCATCTGCGAAGCACTGAGCTGGAGCCTGGGCGGGACCGATTGCTGGAGCCTTTATCTCAACTGTAACTTCCGAGTCGAGTCTGGCGACTGGAGAGGCCCTGGGGCAGACCAGGGCTGTAGCGTTTGCCGCGCTGTTCGCGCTAAAGGACCCCAGGGCGGCTGGGGAACGTTGAAAGGGGGGAGGGGGTTGGCAGGGGATGATCGGAGGTGACTGAGCGGCGAGTTTTCACGTTTTTATTGTTATCATTATTAATAATATTAATATTATTACCGAAGTATTTCACGTCCAGAGCTAAGACAAGACTTACAAACACAACACATAGAAAATTAATAAAATAGAACTTTGTTTTCTTCTGAGGCTCCTCTTCTTACTTCTAGGTAGTATGTGCTCCTTCCAGTGGTTTTGGGGAGGGGTTGGGAGAGACAAGTCTGGGGTCAGGGTGTCTTCGACAGCCCTGCTGAGGGACAGCGAATCTACCATTGAACCGTGCACAGGGGGACATGGACGAAATAGACTCGACATGGAAAAGAGCCTTTTGCTTTGCTTCCAGGAAAACATCAAGTGAGTCCGCTCCTCAGTTCTCACCAGGGAGCCTGATCTGGCCCTGGCGGATTCCTTGGGGAGGGAGGAGGCGCTGGGGTGCTGGGTGGGGTCGACGCTGCGGCCTGAGAGCCCCCGGGAGACCTCTGCGGGCGGGGTCGTCCAGGAGAGCGCTGGACCCCGCCTGTCTAGCGTTGGAGAGCAGGTCCCCAGGCTCCCGCGCCCGCAGAGCTTTCTCTCGGCTCTCAGGCGCTCTCGATTCCCCCACAGGCCTCTCCCTTCGCGTCCCCCCTCCCTTTCCTGGCACCTTCACTCGGCTGGTTTTTCTTCCTCCTCCTCGGCACTGAGCTGAGACGCGCTGAGAAGTTTGCTCTCCTTTTTCCACTTCATGCGCCGGTTCTGGAACCAGATCTTGATCTGCCGCTCGGTCAGGCAGAGCGCGTGAGCGATCTCGATGCGGCGCCGCCGGGTCAGGTAGCGATTGTAGTGAAATTCCTTCTCCAGTTCCAGAGTCTGGTAACGAGTGTAGGTCTGGCGGCCTCGCCGACCACTGGGTCCGAAGGAGGAACCTGTTACGCAAAGTGCAGATGCTGAGGCCGTGGGTCAGGGGGGTCCCCAAACCCCTCCCCCCACTCGACCCTCAAACATGGACTCCAGCCTGTAGGAGGAGGCTACCCTCCAATCTCCCCCCAATTCCCTGCCCCCTCCTCCACTCCTCCAGCGCCCTCTCCAGATTCCCTCCCGGACTCCCAGGCCTGAGTTCGCAGTGGAGACTTTGGGTGGGGGAGGGGAGGAGTTTGAAACTCCCACCTGAGTTGGGGCGGGGGGGGGGGGGGCTGGCCAGGTGTAGCTCTTCCTAGCTCTCCTTCCCATCCATCTACTTTTCCCCCATCTCTGGCCCACCCAATGAATGATAGATTCTAGCTCTTAATCTGTAATGACGTGGATCGATCCGTAGTCCGCATTAACAGCTCCTCACTTTCGTGTCCCACTAATGGACATCAATTGGGACTTTAAAGCCGACAAATAATCCAACCTGAGACCCAGGCGCCGATTCCCCCCCCCCCTTCCCCGCACTCCCCCTCCGCTTTCTCCCTCTAGTTCTTCCTCCTCTACCACCCCTTTTTCCTGGAGCCTTACCATTCCCCAGCCCCCCTCCCCCCACTCCCAGAGAAACAGTCTCAGGCAGCCTCCGCTCGCCCTGGCAGACATCATACCGCCCCCACCCCTTATATGACGCACTCTGTTTTTAATAGAGCGGTCTTTGGGTGGGTGGGTGGGGGCTCGACCAGGACTTGGGAGAGGGGGGTTGGAAGGCGTAGGAAAGCAAAATCAAGTGAATGCGTCCCCTGGTCCCCTTCTCTCTACCCTAAACTGAGAATCCGGGCTGTGGCCTGGCACTCTGCAAGAGCCCACTCACCACTCCCCCTGGCTCCCAGTGCAGCTGGGACTTTGCAAACTTTGTAACTCCTGTAGACAAGAGGGCAGGACGAGAGACCCCCCCCCTCCAGTGCGGTCTCGCCCCCCCCCCCCAAAAAATCTGTCTCCTGAGATGCCCACCTAGGCCCCCGGTGGGAAAATGGGAGGGGCGCTCAGTTCGTATCTTGATCCCCGAGTGGGAAGTTGCGAGTGGAGGGGGAGGGAGGGAGGACCCGGCGATCGCGGAAAGTCTCACTCACTGTTGCACGAATTCATCCGCTGCATCCACGGGTAGACGGGAGTGGAGCACTTTTGCTCGTCGGTCTCGCCGAACACGCTCTTGTCCTGCGCGCAGTCCGACTTCCGCGGCTCGGGGTGGAACGGGGGCGGCTCCTCGGCGCCCGAGAGCGCGCAGGCCGACTCCTTCTCGCGGTAGAAGGCCGGCGCCGGCCCGTAATCGCAGGGCGCCGCTCGGCCATAGCCTCCACCAGCGGGTGGGTAATAGGAAGAAGCAGTAAAGGCCTTGTCCTGGCCGGGTCCCGGCCCATAGGGCGCGGGGTAGTGCCTCAGCGGGTCCGCATAGCCCGATGAGTAGAGCGGTAGCTGGCCCAAGAAGGACTCCTGCCCGCTGGCCAGAGTGACGGGGAAGGTGGAGTTCACGAAATAGGAACTCATTGGGAGGGGAGGCGCGCGCGGCCGCTGCTGCTCCGCCGGGTTTATGATTTGTTGTGTTTTATAGTCCGAGCGCCGCGCCTATTAGTAGTATATCCGAGATTGGGTTTTAGCTGAGGGGGGATGGCGAGGTGCCAGTGAGGGCCAGAAGGAAATACAACCATCTGATCCAACACTGACCAATGGCAGAGGCAGGAATTGTCAAATAGCACCCAGGAGGAGCGCAGCCCGCACGAGGGACCCGCGCACAAACCTATCAACCTTTTTTTTTCCCTCCTTCTTCTCCTTCCCTTTTCTCTCCCTCGCTCTCCCTCTCCCTCTCTCTCCCCAACAGCACGACACGTCCTGCTCTACCTACGCAGGATCTGCGAAAGACGCATCTGTGCCTTTGAGGAAGGAGGGAGCATTTGGATTGAGACCACCCCATTCCCCAGTGATTACATAAATATATTCCTCCCCCCCCCCAATCACCACCACCCCACGCAGGATAGGAAAAAGTTAATTGTGTTTTCAGAAAAGTTAACCCCTGCGTTGCTTGGGCTTATTCCCTCAAGGGAGAGCTGGGTAAATGTCCCAGAATCTCGTTAAGAAATTTGTTTTTAGGTTTTGTGTTGGCAGAAGGGAAGCAGAGTCGTCAACTAATTTGCATGGTTTCAGAAACAGGGAAAGAACTATCATCTTCCTACCTGGGTTTTGAACATCCGTCGCCCCCCCCCCCCCCCCCCCCCCGTTTGTCAGCTCTAGCTCTCTCTCTCTCTCTCTCTCCTGTCTCTATCAAATCTGTTGGGTTTTTTTTTTTTAATGTATTTCACAACTCATATGGTCAGAGGGGGTAAATAAGCTAGGTCCTTCTGACTACAAGACCCAGAAAATGGGGAGGTGGCAGGATGGTCTAAGCCTCTGCCGTGAGGTTACAAGCTTTCAGAAGCCTGCAGCTGCTCCTGCCCAAGACAACCCACATAGCGGTATGCCGATGTGCTCACTCTTAGCAGGGGAAGGGACACTGGGGATAGAGGCTAATCATCGCCTCGCTTGGGGATCTGGAGTGGGAGTAAGGAGTAACTTCCAGCCAAGTGACTGTTTCTCTGATCTATATCTTCTCAGCCTCCTGCCCCCACATGACATAAGCATATCCTGGACTATTGTGGTTTTTTTTTTTCTTTTAAGGAATGAAAGGTATCTTAGTAAGTCTAGGTACAGGGAAGAAGACATTGTCTTCCAATTGTGAGTCCTCAAACCCTTATGCTGATGGAGGAAAATCAGACATCACTGTCAAACGCCCTTATCTCTTTCTTAGGTGTCTCTAGACCTTGGCAGTTCTTTAAAAAAAAAATCTGTGTCACACCTTGGTACTGGTTTAGTTTTATAAGGAGGAAAGGTTGTTCTGGTCCTGGGGACTCCTCAACCTCCCCTATTCAAGTCCACATTCCCTTTCTATCTCTCAGCTTCTCTACCTTTCTTTCATATTTGAATCCTCAGCTTTGCAGGTGTACAGGCTTAAATGCAAGAGAGAGTACGTCTCTGTTCTCTCTCTCTCTCATCCAAGGAAAATGAGCACAGAGACTAGACTGGGCCACAATGTGTTTCCAACATTCTAATATGTACACACAGGCCAGTATGGACATATTAGGAAGGGGCCAGGGTGTGAGATACTTCTGATGTCAGGCTGAAGCACCTCTGCCTTCTTCTTTGGGCTTTTTTTTTTTTTTTTTTTTTGTGGCCCAGCTCTTCCCATTGATAACAGGGAATGGGAAGTGGTAGAGGGCTGAGGTTGGGGTTGGGTGAACAAGAATGAGGATTCATTTGGTTGCTAAGTAGCCTCTGAGACTTGCTGAACTCAGAGCAAATTCTAGCACTTTCACAGGAAAGTGGTATTCACTTCCCTACAATTACCTCCTGGCCTGACTTTGGGGCTTTTGATGACTATTTAAGAAAAGGAACTCCAACCCCTTAATGATGGAGGAGCAAATATGTTACAATCTAGCAATGTATTCAGCCCACTGGTAGAGAGGAGTAGGATATAAGATTTGGGGGAACAAGGAGGGAAATGGTGTATACAAGCACCTCCCTCTACTCAGTTCCTGAAGCTGGGCCCTAGGTCTCTGCTCTCCTCTTTAGTTACAATGTCTCCAAGGAAGGAGTTGTTGGTGTGTGTGGTCTTCCCTATAAAGTATAGTCAAAGGTGGTGAGGGTGATAGAAACAGGAAAACAACTGCCTTGTCCTTAGAGTTGCAGCCCCCAAATTAACCTCACCTCTGCAGGTTGCCTGTCTGGAGATGGAGCCACTACAGGGCAGGGCCTGGGCGCCTGGAGTCGGGCATGAAAGGAAATAGCGCCTCATCGCTCTTATCTAAGCCCAGAGGTATTTATGAGCGTTTATTCATCTGATCCGTTTGTTTGGGAAAAAGAGCAGGCAGGCAGAGCCCGGCCAGAGACTGCCTGGTTTCTGGAGCCAGATCTCTACGAATCTGTCTGTGGTTCCGTCCAGAGACGACTGTCTGTCTGTCTCCATGGGGGAATATGTAAATATACAGCAGGCATGCAGGACTGCCAGTCCAGGGTGTCTCTCTCTGCTTCAGTGAAGGAGATATATGGATGGATAGATAGATAGATAGATAGATAGATAGATAGATAGATAGATAGATAGATAGATAGATAGATAGATAGATAGATAGACAGACATGTGTACCAAGTCTTGAGTACACAACAGATGAATTCCATGGACACTATGGCAAGATTTATAATTGCAATTTTCTGTACTTTGAATCTGCAGTCCTGTGGGTGAGCACACACATCAATTTCAATCCCCGGGAAATGCTACCCACTGTTGCCTTCAGCTCAGAAGTACAATTCTGGAAGTAACCTCAGGAACAGAACATTTGCCTGTTTGAGGAGGGAAGGTGTTGAGACATCCAGACTTCCCATTTCCTCTAAGCTACAAAGCCCCCTTACCAGTTCTCTGAGTTGTGGGTACTTTCTCTCATCCCACCCCCAACTTTGCTTGGATGGAGCAGATGAAAGCATCTCAGCCCAGTTCTTCTCCTTGGACTCTGGGTTTGAAGGAACATAAATGTCCCCAGAGGTATGATGTGCTGGCTCCCATAGATTTAAAAGAAAAAAAAAAAGGCTCTGACATTAGACACTTTTCCCTAAAATAGACTGGTCCAAATCGAAGTACAAAGATCTCATTTCCATTATGCAAATGAGCGGCATCCTTTCTGATCTTCTAGGGGTAGTGGTAGGCGGTGGCAATCAGCCAGCTCGCCTTCCTCCCTTCTCCCCATATCCACAGGCAATCTAAGCACCCTGAAATCGTTCAGCCCCTCTGTACCAGGTCGACTGCCCCTTCTGATTGCCCCAAAGGGAGGGGGGAAAAAATCTATGACAAGCCCAAGATCTTCCTCTTGTTCCCTTGGGGGCCCTCCAGCCCAGCGACTCACTAAGCTGGGCCATCCAGCTGCCCAAAAGTCATTGTAGCGCTCAGAAAAGCTGAACGAGCTACTCCCTAGTCCCAGATTCAAGAAGCACCGGACGGGGGTGGGGGTGGGGGGTGGGAGGGTGCGCCGGAGCTGCAGTGGCCTTGTGGTCCCTAGCACTGCCCGACCCCTAGACCTCAGCGGCTTCTCCAGCTTCTGGCGAGAGACCCTGGTAACACCTCGGCTCGCCTGGCACCACAGGCAATTTCCTGGAGCTCCCGCCCAGGAACTGGGGCCACAGCACCTTGAAAGGAGCAGCCAGAGCTTCCTCCGGCGGCTTGAAAGCACCAGCTAATCAGTAACCCGTGAGACAGGGGCCCACACTCCGCGGCGGCGCCCGGGGCGCGCACCCCGCCCTCGCCAGTCCCCTCTGGGAAGGCGATCGCCCTAAGCGGGTGTGAGGGGGTCTTGTAGGAACGGAAATTACAACTGGTTTTTTTTTTTTCTTTTTTGGTTCTTTCGTGATTTAACCCCTCTCTCATGCCCAAACGCCACTCACCACCACCACCACACACACCAAAGCATATTTGCGTCGATTTCGCTGGAAACGATCGAGGGGGAGGGGCTGGGGTGGAGGTGGGGTGAGGAGGAGAGCGACACTCACTCGCAGACACGAACAGATTCTAGAAAACTCGGTTCCATTCCTTCACCACGGATCCACCAGCTAAGAAAACTGGCAAGACCCACCAGCCAACTGGAAGAACACAGACTTGGTTTGTCTTTTGACAACCAAGTGGAACTGCTTGGGTCGGCGCCTCCCCCCGCCCTGAAGCGCCCCCCCCCCCTTTTTGGCTGAGAAGAAAACCAAATAAACCTCAACAGACTTGGCCTCAGATCTCTCCAGCGACACCATCCTCTCCCGTGCCTTGGGGTGGTGATGGGGAGGCGGGGGTCGTGGCTCTGATCCTCTTCCAGTTTACCTCGGTACCCCACCTCGTCCGTGGTTTGCAGTTAGACCTCCCCTTTTTTTTTTTAACATGTCTTATGCCCACCGCATAAGAAGGTTTGGGGCTAGGATGGGGTGAGGGAGAGGTTGAGGTAGTGTTTAAGAGAGACTTGTGTTCTCTAATCCATATCTGGGTGCCAAGATCCAGGGGAGAGCGCGTCTCTGTGTGGGCCCGAATCCTGCCGAAGCGCGGTGCCGGGGCTCCAAGCCTTCGGCAGGGCTTCGGGCAGCGTCGCTGAGCCGGCGGTGGCAGAGCCGCGTGTCTCTGAACGAACAGTAGATGGCAGCAAACCGCATAATTTGGGTCACAGCAAACTGTCTTAAGGGACGATTTATAACCCGGCAAGACTACAGGAGAAAAAGACCTTTAGTCTGAGTAGGTTTGAGAGGTTCCCTCCACTCTTCGAGAATAGGTTCCCCGAGTACCGTGCGTGGCTGGCGGGGAACCTGTCTTGCTATGAAGCCAAAGAGTCTCTCTGGGAAGCTACTGCAGGTCTGTGTCCTAGGGCCTTTACTTATCCCCCCCCACCCCCCAGCGGCGCCCAATCCAGTGCCACAAGTGGCTGCAGTTCCCTTCTCCTCCCAGCTCAGCACTAAGAAAGCCAATATACCCACGCTTGCCCTGGACCCAGAGGCCTGAGGCTGAATGCCTTACAACTGGATTTTAAGAAACAGAAAGGTAATCACCTCCTCATGCAAACTAAACTAAACCACAATATCTCCTGTCCTTCTAATCCAGTATCTCCCCCCCCCCCCACCCGTGGAAGCTTCTCTTTAAACCTTTCGCCCTATTTCTTAGTACTTGCCATTGGCCTGTAGCCTCTTCCACCCTATTTAAAAAGCAACAACAACAAACAAACAAAAATAGTCTCCCACTCAGCAGCGCTTCCTCACCCTACCCCCACCCCTACACCTCCAGGCCTGGCTGGGAGACAAAATTAGACTCCAGAAGGACTGGACTCATTCTCTGAACTCTGCACAGGCGGCTTTCCTTTCCAGACACCATAAGATTCCCTAATTAGGAATTACTAGAGATTTTTTTTTCTCTCTTTTACTTCCCTTTATTTTTGTTTTTATGCACAAGCCCAAAACAACATGCAAAACCGCCCATCAGGGTTACATTTTGGATCCAGGAAAGTTTGAAATGTTTCCATTCCAGACACACATGACAATTTTCACCTCCACCGAAATCCACACATCCCATACCAATAAAACACAAGTAATAGAATCAATATCACATCAAAAACAACGTTCTGTTCTGTAACTTACCGTGCTAAAACCACAAAACAGTCTGTCTCTCTCTCTCTCTCTTTCTCTCTATTTGCCAAAGGAGGCTCCCTCCCTCCATTGGGAGTGTTGGGCACTCTTAGGCTTTCTGGGAAGTCTCCCTAGCTTTGGGTGCCTTCACCCATAGCCCTTTAATTTCAGAAATGTCTCAGAAGGGAGATAGTGATCATTCCCTGTGAATTGTTCTTTCTGTGTCTCTCTAGCTGCCTCTTCACCCTCGCCGTCCTCTGCGGAGATTCCAGGCCCTACAGAGACCAGAACGTCCCTCAGAGCCACCGCCCTAATGCCAACGCTGCCTGGGAACCGCCAATTACCCACACCGGGCAAGCGAATGCGCGCGGGAGGGGGGCATTTGGGGAAGCTGGGTCCAAAGAAGGATGGTGGGAGGGGAAGGGAGCATGAACCCACCGGAGGCCGTAGGGACTGGCTGCTTCTGGCTGGCTCCGAGGAAGCCTGGACACCCCCCATCTTCTCTTATGAAGTCCCCTCGCTTGAGCTCTCCTCCCAGCTAACAAGGCGACTTAGAACTGGCCCCGTCGGCCCTTTCAGTCCCTCCTCCCATTTTCCCTGCCCGGCCTCCTCCTCCAGGAAGCAGCCACCCTCTAACCACCACCGAATTTCCTGGGAAGCTTAGCCCTGCAGAGCCTAGAGGTGGGGTTCAACCCCGTTATGGGGTGTGCACGGGGAGAAAACCCCTGGCCCCACCCCCTACAAAAGCGATGCAAAAGAATAAGAATTGTAGAATCTCCCTTACCTTTGTAGACCTCGGGGCTTGCTTTTCCCACTCCAGATTGAAAAGGGTGGGAAGAGAGGGGGGGAAGAGAGCGTTCGGTTTCTTCTCCAGCTTCCAGATAATATTGTCCCAACCTGAGAGCCGTCGTTTCCCTTTCTCAGACTTGGGAGAGAGCTTGTTTCGCTTTTCTGGCATTTGCATAGAAAATGGAGTAAGTTCTGGCTTTGAAAAATAGTATCAGGCTGCAGTCCTGAGCAGATTGTCCATTTACCCTTCATGATGACTAAAATCCCAGATCAGCCAGCAAATTAACTTAGGAATCAAAATTATTTTTGGTTCCCTCTCTTTTGTGTTATTCCCACCCCTCCTTCCCTCTCTCACTCTCTCTTCTCTTCTAACCACCTCCCCCCCTCTTCCTATTTCTCTTTTGCTCTATCGAGCTGATATTGAAGTATAAAAATATCAAGAGGCTGGAGCCCTGAAGGACGACAGTGCTCCGACCTAGGTGTGGTGTCCAAAAGAATGCTGCATTATAACCACCAGGGAAATGATAAAAAGTTCATGTTCACGATCGCCCGGCCACATGACCGGCGCCGGCCAATCGCTGGATTCAACCACTCATAAACTTCTATCACAAAGTTGTAAATTTTCATAAAACAACAAGGAATTTATTGCATTTCTTCATGGCTGCTCCACCAGCAACCCTTTTCTCAGTCGCCATCTTCTTTTCTTCTCCTTCTCTTTTTGGGGAAACCTTAATCTGGGAAGAAATGAGATTTAAGGTGCAGAGATTCCGAGCAGAAAAGTCACAAAGGTCCAGCTAGGAAAGGGGTTCTCCCTGGAACCTCTTGATTTGTCTCCAGAAGCTCTGCCCCCCCTCTTTTGAAGTGAAAATTCACCCCCAAATCCTCCACGTGGGACCATTCCAAGACAATTTGGAGGTGTGGTGGGAGCAGCAGCCAGTGTCCAGAGTTGCCTTCTCCATCTTGGCAAAATGAAAGCTTTACCCCCACTCTGAGGGGTCCCCTTATTCCTAGCCCTAGACATTGTGAACCTCCCCATACACCCACAAGGCTTGCAGCATTGTGGGTGTGGGGGTCCCTAGACCCAGGGGGAAGTGGTGTAGATGCGGGCCAAGGCTGATAGGTTTAACAACCTAATTCTCACCACCCCAAAAACTAGCCATAAAACTAGATGCTGGCTGTTTTCTGCCCAAACAGAGGCTTGTCCATATTCATAATGACAGCTCCCTGTGCTCTCCAGAGGTTTTGTGGTCATTATTGGAGGAAGCTGCAGGGATTGGGGGGACCTTTTAGTCACAAATTTAAACGAAATTTCCTAAAACTAACCCTCTTTCTCCTTTCCGTTGGAGATCTCTGGGGTGTTTTTTGTTTTTTTTTTTTAATTTTAAACCACTGAGGGTTTATAATTGAATAAATGCTGTTCAATTAAAAAAAAAAAACCCTCAGCTCCAAAGATCTAGCTATACTGACACTATCCTTCAGATTTTTGTCCCACAATCAAGGATTTGGGGGAGCAAAAATATCCCATGCTTCTACAGTTTCCTAAAATACCCCGCCTATTTTGAGTTTGAGATACTGGTGCCCAAATGAAGAAAACGAAATAATCTCCCCCTCAAGTTATTTTCCTTTGTCTTTCTCTCTGTGTGTTCCCGAGTGGGTTCCAAGATAGCCGGTGACTGGAGCTCAAAGCAAGCAGAAAAAGAAGCCGCCGCATGGGGCGGCTAGGCTCACCACCGCGGGAAAGATTCGGCAAACCAACCCGATAACTCGCTAAACTCTCCTTTCTACGACTTGGTTTGTTTTTTTTAAGTTTTTAATATATCATCTCTATCCATTTAAAATGAGTATATTAAAATAAAATATGTAATGAAAGTAAAATAACTGGAAATAAAGAGTGTAGCCACAAATGTTTGCCGAATTCAGTAGAAAGCTGGTAAGTGTCTTGGCTAGGAAGATTACTCTGGGCCTCTATTAACAGGCCTCTATTTGAAGATCTGGCCTTTGCCCAATTGCTGCCCAAGAGGTGGGGATTTGGGTGTTTTCCTTCCCTTCAGACCCTCTCTTCCTCCTTATGAGGCCTAGCATTTTAGATTTCATCTCTGTATTGGTGCAGATCCGCTGCCCCTTTTGATGGTCTGCAGGAAAGACTTTTGTAGAACAAGTCTTAAATTTTTTTTTGTTTTGTCATGTTTTTGTGAGTGTATAACTGAACATATGAGCTTGTGGATGTATTTACTTGAGGGCAAATGTGACTTTCTGTTTATAAACCAATGTGTGAATGTACATTGGTATCTATCAATATGTCTGCAAGTGACTGTGAATTTGTATTTACTTGTGAGTGTGTGTGAATGAGAATGTCTGTCTTCTGGGCATAGAGCCTGAATTGTGTGAATGCTTGTATGTTTATTTGTGAACATATGAATATCTGTTTATGACTGGATGTGATAGCAGAGATTTTTGTGTGATGACAGCCTATAAATGTGTTATTATATGCACTGGTCTATATCGTTGTGTGTAAGAGTGTACAAATGCATACATGTGTCTGTGTGTATGTGTATGTGTGTGTGTGTGTGTGTGTGTGTGTTTGATAGAGGGGCTCACTGGTTGGAAATCTTCAGAGTAGGGAGCATTGGGTTAAAAAGCAGACCCACCCAGCAGAGAAAGAAAAGGCTGACAGCAGCTAGTCAAAGCAGAGGGGCCTTAGGTTCCTACCCATTACTAACCATGACTCCCTCCCGTCCACAGAGAGACAGAAAATAGGGTATGTTTATTTTTAATCTTGTTTTATTTGTCCATCTTTCAGCTATACATAGAACATAAAGAGGAGCTAGGAATGGCTGGTGGGAACAAGGAACAGTGGTCAGGTGCATGGGGACAAATGAGCTAGCCAGCTAGTTGGTGGTTCCTTGGGGCTCCCTAAGGCCCTTTCAGTAAGTATGCTACTGGGAAGGCAGGGGCTCAGGAGAGTGGGCACACAGGGAACCACATATTATTCCACACTCAACAAAGACAGCAAAAAAGAGGGCTTACAAAACAGTAAAATTTTACAAAGACCTTACAATAGCAACATAGAAAAGAGAAGGCAAATTCCAGAAAGCTACAGAACAGGTAGATCATATCTTTCCCATATTGTACAAAACAAACCCGGCAGACTTTCCTATAGGTAGTATTTTTTTTTACAGTGTTGAGAAACCAAAATTTCACCTTTCTCCTTAATTAAAAAAAAAAACCTGCTTTTATTTAAATAGAGGTTTCCCCCCCTCATTTGAGTTTCCTGGTTCAGTTCTCATAACTAGGCATCTCCTTTTCTCTCTTTCTCTCTCTCTCCTTTTTCATTTTCTCTGTCCCTCACTCTTCCTCTTCCTCCTCTGCTTCAGCCTTGTCCTGGCTGCTGATCCCTGGACCTGAGGTTTTATTTTCCTTTTTCCATTTCATGCGTCGGTTCTGGAACCAGATCTTGATCTGTCTTTCGGTGAGACAGAGTGCATGGGCAATCTCGATGCGCCGCCGCCTAGTAAGGTAACGATTGTAGTGAAACTCTTTCTCCAGCTCCAGGGTCTGATAGCGGGTGTAGGTCTGGCGGCCTCTCTTGCGGTCAGTCCCTGTGTGCAGTATTTAGAGGAGAAAAATCAGAGTGCAGATTATGTGAGGTTCATAGGTGAAATAACCCGCTTTCTCACCAAAACAAATTCATGCTTTCCATCCCCCAGCCTATATTTCATGTTGCTCCTTTCCCCCTCAATGCAAAGGACTGACTTTCTCAAAGACCTTTCAAGGCAAATGCCCCCCCCCTCATTTTTCCATTCAAGAAGGGCTTTGTGTTTGTTTGTTTGTTTTTCAGCCTGCAGCTTCTGAAGCTAGGTGGCTCTAACCTGATGGTTCCTGGAGGTTCTACTGATAAGGCATGGGGGGGGGGACGGAGATAATCACAAGTAACCTCCCTAAACCCAGGGGCTTTTCCCTTTTGGAGGCTAACTTTGATGGTCTTTGGGTAGGAGGCGGTGGAAACCACACCAGCAACCAACCCTGGAGTAGAGCTCCAGGCCTGGACTGTTTTCCCTCACACAGAGAAGAAAAGAAGAAACAAAGGGCCCTCACAGTCAAGTACCCAGCTCAAGCCTGTGTGGAATGAAAGGAGGTGAGAATTTACAGATTTCCCTGGAGCCTGGAGCATGGAGTTGGTCTGACAGCAGCTGCCTTCTGATGATTTTTTTCCACTGAGTGGCTGAGGGTCAGCTAGGGCCAGACTCTCTTGCTTACCAGCCTGCCTTCCCAGACAACCCTGCTCTTCACAGCAATCTTTGGGCCTTGGGACAGCAAAGAAAAGAAGAGAGCCTGCAGCCTGGGTTGGGGGGGGGGGGGCATGAAGGATCTGTGTGGTTGGGTACTGAAGGACAGATAGGGACCAGAACTCTGAAGAGAATTGGAGGGAGGTGTTGATACCAGGCATCCTGGGAAGGAGACAGGGAAAAGGAGGGGCTGAGACCCTAATTTCAAGACAGATAAAAGCCAAGCTTGATATGTTTATGAGACTGGGGCTTTGATAAGTCAACCAGAAAGGCAGTGGGTAATGGAGACCATGGCCACTAATACAAATGATGTGAGAACTGGGCTCCTCTTGGCCCCTAGAATGGAAACCTCTGGCGACAAGTGTTGAGTCTTCTGAATCTTGGATTTGGCCTCTAAGTTCATCCACTTTGGGCTAGTGTCAAAAAGGATGTCTGAGCCAGGCTTGGCAGGAGACCTCATGAAAGTCTTGGTATCTTGGAGTTTCTATAGCAGCTGCTGAAGGTCCAGAACTCTCCCAGTCTTGAATTGCTCCATGGTGTCCTAACCCCTTCCCTAAAGAGAGATTCACCCTTCTGGAATGATAACTCCAAACTTGTGAGCCAATTCTCCAGGGGTGTCTAGGAGCCCTGGGAATGGCACCTGAGTAGGCCAGCTGTAAGCTCAGGCTCCTGAGGCCCCTTGCCCCTTTCTCTGGTTCTCTCCCCCTTCCCAAGTTCACTGGGGGGTCAAGAGCCTCATCCTTCTTGGCCTTCTCCCCCCTCCCTCCACCTTCCTCCCTGGCTCAGTGTCCCTGGCTGAGTCCTCATCTAGGCCTTTAGAGCCCACCTCTAATTGTCCTGATGGGAATAATGGGGGAGCGGGGTTGGCTGAGAAGAAGGGGAGGGGAAAACTGCTTAGCTCTATGGCCCCTTCCCCCATATCTTATCCAAGCCGGGGCTGGAAGGGGGGGGGGGGGGAACACACCCAGAGCTGAGATCTCAGACGTGGAAGGGGGGGGTGTGGAGGTGGAGAGGAGGGAGACCCTAATGGCTATTCTCTGCAAACCCCAGCCTTCCTCCGCCAAGACAAACGGCCTCGTCTCCAGCCCGTGTAGGCGCTGCTGATAAATATTTAAAGCTAAAAGGCCGGGAGGAAGGGTAGGGGGCGGGCTGGGGACTCTGAGCGCCTTGGCGTCGGCGAAGAGATCCGCCAGGAGAGGCTGAGCGAGCCTGAGAGCACCGAGCAAAATCATCATCATCATCATCATCATGGGGCGGGTGCAGCCGAGGGGGTGCCCAGTCCCCAGGCCGGACCCCCCCAGGCCCTGAGCACTCTGGAGAGCGATCGGGGAGCCCCTGCCGGGAACGCGCCCCGGGGCCGCTCGGTGCGCGGCGGCGTTACCTGAGCTTCGCATCCAGGGGTAGATCCGGAAGTTACTCTCGGCCGCCAAGTCCGAGTCCCTCTGCTCCTTTGCGCCCGGCGCCTTGGCGGGGTCGCCGGGACACACCCCGGAGAGGTTCTGCTCAAAGGGTGCGCAGTGCATGTTGAAGGAACTCGGCTCGAGCCCGTAGCCGGCCGCGTAGACGCCGGCCGAGCCCTGGCCCGCCAGGCCCCCCCCGCCGGGGTACAGACCCTGCACCGGGGCGGCGAAGGCGGCGCCCGAGCCCGCTCCATAGCCGGGGCGCTGGGGGTTGGAGGCAAACGCACAAGAAGTTTGTTCGGGGAAGGCTCCGGTAGCGAAAACCGAACTTGCGGCTGGATATTTAGAAAATAAAGCATTCGCATAATACAATGAACTCATAATTTGGCCGGATGATTTGTAGGCAGGGACGTTTTAGTGTCGGTTTTACGAGATTCCTTGATATATTACAGAATTAGAGTCCAGATTTACACCAAAAAGGACCCCCTTTTTCCTCTCCGGACCATGTGACCCCGCCCACGTGACAGCCCCTCGGCCAATGGCCGGGCGGCCTCCCCACGGCTCCCGGTAATGTGGAAAAAATTGTGTGGCGTTGGATTTATAAAATATGATCAATAATGAATGGGAAAGCCGAGCTCTGTGGATTGGGGCTGGGGGGTGGGGGGCTCGCGGGCCGCTGTCGACACCCTCGGGCTGTAGGCGGCTTGTAGGCGAGATTTGGGGGAGAAAGGAATTGAGTGGAAGAGAAAATAAATTACTTCGCTGGGGGGGGGGATCCGTGTTGTCCCCCTATCTCCCACCTCCCCATTCCCCCCACCACCATCACCACCACCTCCCCAGCCTGTGACCGGGCGAGAGACAAACGCAGGGACTGAATGCGCGGGACCCGGCGGGCGGGTGGGCGAGGGTGAGTCAAGTCTTTATTAATCCGGGCTAAAGCATCCCGGCTGGGCCTTTAGGAGAAGTTGGTTGCCTTTCTCCCAAGGTGAGGGAGGAGGCGAGCCTGGACTCCCAGGCTCTTCCTCGGTGCCCCCAAAATAAAAATACTGGCAGAGATGGAGCTCCTAAGGGCAGCGCCCCCGGGCGCTGGACGCTGCGGTTTCTGGTGGTTTAAAGAAAAAGGATGGAAGAAAAAAAGAGAAGAGGAAGGGGTGGGGGGTGGGGAGAGAAAGGAAGGGAGGAGGACGGCCGGGGCCAGGCTGCGCTCGCCGCTTTCCCGGTTCCGGGAGGCGGATGCCTCAGTCCCGAGCTGCCTGAGAAGCAGAGGCCGCGAAGGAAGGAAGGAAGACCGCGAGCTCCAGCCGAAGGGGCTGGGCCAAGGTAACCACGTCCCACCCTGGGAGAGGTAGGGAAGCGCATCTCCCCTCTGCGCCCCGCTGCCCCCGCTGCTGGAGTCCGAGAAAAAAAAATAAAAATATAAGCCTGCACAACAGCCTCGCACTCCCATCTCCCCCCACCCCCTGCCCCCGGACACATACACACACACACACGCGTGCGCGCGCGCGGAAACAAAGAAGAGAAGTAGCCCACACGGGAGACAGCCACTAGTCCCAGCTCATCTCTTCTCCGGCGCGCGGCCCGGGCGCGGGGGGTCTCCGGGGCCCAGCGGCCTCGGAGCGCGAGGGGAGGGAGGGGGGGTTCTCCTGGCTCCCCTCCCTCGTTGCTCTCTCCTCCAATCGCGTGCCGCCGCCTCCCTCACCCTCTGCGCCCCCGGGCCGAGGGACTCACACCACCTGCCTCCAGCCCCCGCCCCCTCCTCGCTGCGACCTGCCCTCTGAGCAGGCCCAGGAAGGAAGAAGCCCCCTGACCATCTCCCCCGCGTCCCCCCCCCCCACCAACCAACAGCCTTGTTAGGCTAGCCTGGGAGCCAAAGAGAGCGCAGGCCAGGCCAGTCTCGGGTTCTCGCTTGTAAACTTTTATTTTAACTCTTCCGCCCTTTTCAGGCGCAGACAACAGAACAAAGTATAGAGGAACAACAAAATATATAATTAGCCCTCCCTCCCCCCCCATAAAGCAATTCACGGATACAGGATACATTCTCTTCACAGTAAACCTAAGAACACTTTTAACAATTGGCCACAGCGCGCATGCTAACTAAAGTAATCTCTTTTGAGAAACAGTTAAGACGAAATTGTCAAACCAAAGGGGTGGGGGAGAGAAGAGAGAAAAGCCAGCGAAAGAGAGAAAGCCAGCGAGCTAGGGAGGGCAGCGGGGGGGAGAGGGGTAGAGAGGGGACGTGAGAGAGAGAGGAGAGAGAAGAGAAAATCTGAAAGAGGGAGAGGGAGACAGAAAGAATTACGGCGTGAATAGGCAGTTTCATGTTGTTGGGAGAACTCAGCAGAAATCGGTACCTCGGTCATTACAAAGAAGCACGTTCAAAGGAAAAAAACAAAACAAAACAAACAGAAAAGAACCATTGCACAAGGAGGCTTTTTACACGGGGCGGGGGGCGGGGGGCGGGGGCTCAGCCGGGCCGCAGCCCCTCACCCTCTCAGGTCGAGGGAGTCCTTGCTTCAAATCCTTCCCCCCCCCCCCCCGCCCCGGCCCCCAAGAGAAGGAAAGGAGATCCACGGTAGCTCACACACAGAAGCTATTACGAGAAACTACCACTAGCGGGGACTGGCGCGGCGGGGGACGCTGCGGTGGGAGGCCCAGCTCCTGGCCCGGCTCGCGGGACCAGAGCTCTCCGAGGTGGGGGGGGCGGGCGGGCGGCGGCGGCGGCGTGATCGCGGGATCCGCGGACGTGGCGGGCAGCCCCGACCTTGGCAGTCCCAGCTGGAGACCCCCCCTTACTTCTTGTCACCCTTCTGCGCGTCGCCCTCGTCCGCCGCCTCCGGGGCCCGCTCCAGCTTCTGTTTCTCCAGCTCCTCCTGCTCGCATTTGCTGCTGGGGAACTTGTCTTTGTTGTTTTCTTTTTTCCACTTCATCCTCCGGTTCTGGAACCAGATTTTGACCTGTCTCTCTGTCAGTCCCAGCGCGTGCGACACCTCGATCCGCCGCTTGCGAGTCAGATAGGGATTGAATAGGAACTCCTTCTCCAGCTCCAGGGTCTGGTAGCGGCTGTAGGTCTGTCGGCCTCGCCTGCGTCCGGCGGCTGCTGGGAAGGGGGGATAGGGGCGAGACGGAGGGGAGGGGAGGGAAGGGGGAGGGGGCAGAGACAGAGAAGGTTGGAAGATTCGTGAACCAGCCTAGGAGACCGGTATAATAAAAGGCTGGGAGACCTTCTACCCCCTGTGCAGGGGCGGGGGGGGGTGCCAGGAGGCCCCGCAGTGGGGGGGGGGGGTGAAGAGGAATCAGACACCATTGAATCTAAGGGACCCAGAAAGGGGGAGCCCCTCCTCTGGTACTCAGCACTACAGTTGGAAGGGGAGGTTTAAATCTACTAAAAGTGCCATAAAGTTTTAGAAGGAAGGATGTAAAGGAGGGAGGGAGGAAGAATAAAAAGTCGAGATGGGGACGAATGAATCCACCTTGAAAAGCCCCCCACCCCCAGAGCCTCTGCCCCAGAAGAAAAGTTTCTTCAGGGTAATTAAACTATAAAGCAATTGAGAAGTGCAAAAGTTGAGCGCCCCCACACCCACCGCTCTCCACTACCCCCCATAAAACAGTAAAAAAAAAAGGGGGGGGGGGGAAGGAGGGGAAGAAGAAAAAGTACAGACGGGTGAGGGGTTTATGGGTTGAGGAAATGTCGCTTAGCGACCCCCCTTTCAAGAGAAACAGAAGAGGAAGGAAAGCGAGAGAGAGAGAGAGAGAGAGAGAGAGAGAGAGAGAGAGAGAGAGAGAGAGAGAGAGAGAGAGAGAAGAAAGAGGTAGAGAGAAAAGGAAGCTGACATAACTTGGAACTGAGCCTACAAATCTTCCAGGAGCTGGAGGAAATGCGCCCCGGCCTCCCCCCGGTGCTCTGCCCGGCCCCCCGGCGGGGAGGACCCTCCCAACCCCTCCGTGCCCCCCAGCCAGCCCCGACAGGAGGCTCACCTTGCGGGCGCATCCAGGGGAAGAGCTGGGTGGGCGACGGGCTCTGCTCCGAGCCCTCGGCCTCCTCGGCCAGGCCGCTGGCGGCGGCGAGCTTGCAGTCTGCGTACTGCACCAGGTCTGGGTCCTGCGCTCCGAACAGGCTCTGGCGCTGCAGCGGGTCGTAGCCGTAGAAGTTGCCCGGGTCTCCGTGGCACGCCACGGCGCACGGGTTCTGCTGGTAGGGAGCCGTGGACAGCGACGATGGCCCGTGGTAGAACTCCTGAATTTGGGACGGGTGCTGGAAGCTACCGCCGCTGCTGGGACCGTACACCACGGTGGGTCGGCCGCCCAGATCCTGGGCGAAGCCGCAGTCATAATAATTGGGGCGCAGGGACTCCCCGGTTTTGTATTTGGAGAACAGTGAGTTGACGAAATAAGAGCTCATTTTATTGAATTTTGAGGCGGCGGCGGCGGCGGAGGCTGTAGTTGGGGGCTGGTGGGGAGGGGGTGGGGAGGGGGAAAAGGGAGGGAGAGAGAGAGGGAGAGAGAGAGAGAGAGGGAGAGAGAGGAAAAAAACGCGGATTCGCCGGCTCCTAGTCTCCCTCGCCAGGAAAGGAGAGGGGAAAGGGAGGAGGAGGAAAGGGGGGAAAAAAAGAAAAGAAAAAGAAAGAAAAGGCAAAGAAGATCGGGAAGCCACCCCACTTTTTGTGATTTCCAGGAACAGAAAAGGATAGAAGCCTCCCAAAGTCTAAGCTCGCGTGGCAGCCGCGGCTCGCTCGCCCTCCCCCCCCACCCCCCACCCCCCAAAACAAAAATATACCGCCACTTAAAGAGGTCCTCGCTTTACATTTCGAAGAAGGGACGCCAGTTCATAAACAGTTTTCGGTGATTTACTTCCCTGCAAATGAGTTGTTTCATATTTTGCACTGTCTTTTCACGATCATTTGCATCCATTAGAGACCCCGCATCCTATTGGCTTCCCGGTACTCCTCCCGGACAGAACGCAGAGCGAGGGTGAGCGCGCGCGAGCGAGCTAGAGCGAGAGAGCGCCAGGGAGAGAGGAGAGAGCGGAAAAAAGGAGGGGAAGAGAAAAAAACACCCAGGGAGAGAGGAAGAGAGGGGGAGAGGGGGGAGAGGGGGGAGAAGAGGGGGGGGAGAGAGAATGAATACGGATTAAATCTGTTTAACTACCTACATTAATGAGATATCTCTCGCCTTACAACAAATCAAATACCTTCGTAGACCACCCCCAAAGACTCATGTGGGGGAGTCGCGCGCGCGCGCACACACACACAAACCACGAAACCACGAGCACACACCACACACACACACACACACACAACAACAACGCGCCAGGCGTAGGCACGCTGTTAATTTCGCGATTTTAACGAGGCAATTGGAGTCTTTCTAAATGTCAGGGTCGCTTCGGAAAAATGTAAAAGAACACGGTTTAATTGCGCCGAGTTTTAAAAGGTCCTATAAATGTAATTGGTATTTTAATACAAGTTATCAAATCATACAGCTTCCTCTCCTAAACATATTTTCAAACAAACGAGGTAGTCATATTTAAAGCTTTAATGATCAATTTCCTTATTATTGATAAAGGTTTAACTATCGTGTGGAGGGAATTGGCTGGGTAACTGGCCCCCCAAAAACGGCTGTAAACTCTTTAACAAACTATAAAACGCAATAAAGCCAGAGTCTGTTGTTGTTTATGCCGCAGCGCATAAAAGCTGTTAGCATTTTACGAGTTCTTTCCTCTACAGCTATAAAACTGCAGCTTCGATCGCCCCCGCCGCCCGACTGCAGCGTGGAGGGGGTGACGGAGCCCAAATGAGATTATGCTTTTTTGGTGGGTTTTTTCCCCCCCTTCTCTCCCTGGCACAGTGACTTTTGCGAGATTTTTGTCTCCTTCAACCAGGGCAAGAACCTTCTCCTACCTCCTCTCTTGAGACCCCCCCCCCCAACCTCACCCCCCCCCCCCCAAATCCATCTCTCCTTTAGCGCAGGCCATTCCTGGAACTTTCCCTTCTTCGGCAAACAAGTCAGGGGTTTTCTGTGGAGAAGGGAGATGAAGTTTGGAAGGGGAGCCAGGAAGGAAAGGAGAAACTTTGCAGGTTATTGGGTGTTAGCAAAAGCAAAGTTTGTCTTGCAACGACCATATTCTGTAGTTTGTACCATCTCTATTGCTGGGGGTGGGCACTGGGGGTGGCTTTTGAAGGGGACAGTCAGTAGTACTTTGATGGGGGTGGTGGTGGCAGATTTTGTATGGTCTGTCAACCACAGGGTTGACAACTCCAGGGGGCTGTGCCTGGGGGCCTTGGGACCCAGCAACCCAGCTCAATTGGCATCCAGCCCTCCCAATCCCCTATGGCTCCCACCTAGGCCCTCAGAAGAGATGCACCTACAAACCCCATTAGCAAGTGAGCTGAGGCCCAGGCTGTGGAGGCAAGGCTGGTGCTAGACACCCAGGCCTGGGTGCCTGGCCTTAGTTACTGCTGTCCTATGCCTTTCACTACCCTAAGTATATACAAAGGTGGTATTTCTCATTGTGGCCTTTGAGTGACCGTCACTACTTGCGTTGACCTAACAGCAGTAGGAACTCAAAACTAGGCTCTCTGAGGTCGGCATTTTCTCTCTTTTCCCCTTGGGGAGCCTGTGCTTAGTGCTGGTTCTTCCAACAGACCTAAGCACCCCAGGCCTGAAACCTAGAATGTAGCACAGAGCCGACTGGATGCCTCTCTCTTCCTTGCTCCTTGTCTTTCCTCAGACCTGGCCTGCTGATGGTGAGGGACCAGACTCAAAAGGGCTTAGCCTGGGAGCCAGAATAGAGCAGCTCATCTGCCAAGGAAATGAAAGGAAGGAAGGAAGGAGAGATAGAGAGAGAGAGAGAATTTCTTTCTAGTAACAAAAGGAGAAGTGGCTTTACAAACACATCCAATCCATTGTTTATTCTGGAGAGAGTGGTTTGCTTTGAGAGAAGCATTTTAGGAAGATCCTCCATACACCCTAACCTTTGTCAAAATGAAACCAGCAGCTTTCCAAGGAAAAGTTATCAGCCATCTTCACTCAGTCCTTCACAAGTAAGTCTAAGCTGGCGCTGGTGGCTAGCTTCTCAGGAGGCTGAGATCTGAGGATCACAGTTCAAAGCCAGCCTGGAGCAGGAAAGTCTGTGAGACTCTTATCTCCAATTAACTACCAGAAAACCAGAAGTGGAGCTATGGCTCAAGTAGTAGAGTGCTAGTCTTGAGCAAAAGAAGCTCAGAAAAGGCACCCATGCCCTGAGTTCAAGCCCTACAACTGACAGAAAGAAAAAAAAAATTAAGCCCAAAGAATAGGAAGGAACCAAAAAGGGGAGAGAAAGAAGCAAAGAGGAAAGAGAACTAGGTTCTAGAATTTTCCAGGTTGAGGGGTCAGTAAAGGCGTCTCAGAAGGTAGAGTCAAGTTGTTATGGAAGCAAATATATATATATATATATATATATACACTATATAATATATACATATATACTATTATATATATATATATATATATATATATATATATATATATATATATAGCGTGTGTATGTTGGGGGGATTTTATGGTCATGATTTGAGGATTTACTGGCAAGGTAGAAATTCAGTGGCTTGTTCTAAATCATCCTTGTGCCTTGCCAGAAATTTCTGATGGAAAGAAAATGTTTCTATTATAAGGGAGGAAAGAAAAAAAAAAAAGAATGAGCGAGGAGATAATTTATAAACACCGAATCAAGCATAGATTTATTAGAGAAATTCAAGTAGAGAAACTCGGCTTGCTTCTCTGCACCTGGTCCTGCGCGCGCGGAGGGGGGTGGGGACTGTGTAACAAGAGGCAGGGTCAATTTTCGGGGGGTGGGTGGGTGTCTATTTTGCCGGGGTTCAGAGGTAGGGATCAGACGGGAAGGCGAAGAAATGAAAAGATTGGGTGTTGAAGAAGCTATGGGCAGACAACGTCGGGCTCAGAACGGAAAGTGCATGGTTCCAGGGCTCCAGCTGTTAAATTGCATGGGGGCCCACGACCCCAAGATTTACCCAGGTCAAGGCGGCCTGGGGCCAGAGCCAGGGTGGGGGTCCCAGAAGTCGCAAATCTCACCTGGTAGTAAGTAGGGGGCCACTCCCCGATGACGGGGGAAACCCGAACTCCAGCTCCCTGCCGCCAAACCGGTCCCCACTTCTATCCCCCCCAACAGCGCATTTTGGGGGGGAGGGCGTACCAACTTGGGGCCCCACTGATCACCCCAAGAGATAGTCGAGCCTGCCCGCAACCCGCCGCCTTGGGGGACGGGGCAGAGCCCGACCTACGTCTGGGTCTCCACAGGCGCAAGCCCAACCCAGCCCAGACCCCAGCCCAGTTACAAAGGATCCTGAGCCTGTGCGGATCAGCCCCGGGGGCTTGAAGCGCCCCCTCTGAACACCTCCCCCCCCTAAATCCAAGGCTCCATTCCTCTCCACACTGGGGAGTCTGGGATGGCTCACCGGGTTCCCTCTCCCGCCGCAGTGGGCAGCCCTCTGCGGGGCAGCTTCCTCTCCATCCGACCTCCTGCTGCCGGCTGGCCCTCTCCCACCTGACCGCACCCGCGTCCGTGGCCATTCCTTTTCGCACCCCTCTCCTCACGGGAGAGTCCCCATTTTCCCAAATCAGTTCTCTTAGATTTGGATCCATTATTTCTATCACGACTAATCTTCCCCGTTGTCCCGCATTTCTTGGCCGACCGAACACAAACAGCTGGGCGAGGGAACCAGTTGAGCCCTCCTCCTCCTCCTCGTCGTGGGGCAAATTCACAACGCTGACCATTTGAGGAGAGGTGAGAACATCGCTCTATCTGGAACCTATTATAAAAAAGGGGGAAAGGACGACCACGAACCCCATATATTTTTTTATTACGTGCAAATTATTCATGACTTCTGGTAGCGCTCAGTTCTTCGCTTCCAGTCCGAACAAGGTGCACAATGGAGCCGCCAGGCTGCAGCCAGCCGGCGCTGGTGATTTTTCACATGGAGCAAGGCTGCCATCTAGCGGCCACTCTGTGCAAGGCACCCTCCGGCGGCTCCGCCAGGTTGTCTGGGAACCCGCCGAGGAAGCAATAATAAGCCAGAGAAACTTTTCATTATTCGCAGAAAGGGAGAGCCGGGGCGGCGCTGGGGGGAGTGGGGGGAGAGGAAAATGAACGCGGGCAAGAGAAAAGTCATCGGAATCAAGAAACGGGTCGTGAAATCGTGTTGATGAGCTAAAAGAGAGGGGAAAAAAAATCAGGAGGGGAGGAGGAGGAAGCTATACGCCTCCCTCCCCCCCTTCTCTACTTACACCCCCCTCCCCCACCTCCCCGTCCCTAATTTCTAGCGGAGATCGCCGAGCAGTGTGCCGTTTATGGTGCGTAAAAGGAGGAACCAAGCACTTTTCAAACCCTCCACGACTGTTTTAAATTCCAAGAACAATTGGGCTTTGGGGGGTGGGGAGGGGAGGCCGGGGAGGATGCAGTGGGCTCGCCCAGACGTCTGGCGCGTAAGTGCCGGGGACTTCTTGTTTATACGGCTTGATTCTTGCAGGAGTGTGAAGAACAAAGAGTCCGAATTACGATCTCTGAAGCATTTGTGACAACAAAGTGTTCTTCTCTCCTCTCCTTTACCTCCCCTCCTCCCCCTTTCCCGGAAACCCAAGCCCAAGTCCTGTCCTGAGCGCTTGAGGATGGGGTGGGGTGGGGGGTGGGGGGCTGCTATAGAGAGGCCCCTCCATTTCCCCAACCAGGGCGAGAGCCAAAGCCCAGCTGCAGCAATCCGGGCTCC